ATTAATGATGTAGCTTTATGTTTCTCTCCTTAGCTGATAAATCTCATTGCCTGATAACTCTCAGGTGTTGTGTGTGTGTGTGTGTGTGTGTGTGTGTATGTGTATGTGTGTGTGTATGTATGTATGTGTGTGTGTGTGTATGTGTGTGTGTGTATGTATGTATGTGTGTGTATGTGTGTGTGTGTATGTGTGTGTGTATGTATGTATGTATGTGTGTGTATGTGTGTGTGTGTATGTGTGTGTGTATGTATGTATGTATGTGTGTGTGTGTGCTCACATGCACTCACGCATGCACTGGCATCTGTATGTGAAGCCAGAGACTGTCTTCTTCTATTGGTTTCCACTTTGTGTTTTGAGACAGGGTCTCTTGCTGAACCTGGAATCCACTGAATGGGTAAACTGGGAATACAGGAATGTGTCATAGGCTCAGTTGGTAAAATGTTTACCACGCAAGCATGATAACCTGAGTTGGGACCCCCAACATATAGAAGCCTGGAGATCACTGGCCAGCCATCCTAGCTGAGTCAGTAAGCTCTAGGTTCTGTGACAGAACCTACCTCAGAAATAACATGGAGATGTAACTATAAGATATCCAGTGTCAACCTCTGGCCCCATAACTACATGCAGACATATATTTGTGCACAGACAAATGCATGTGTATACACGCACACACACACCCAATACACACACACACCCCATCCCAGAGAACAGAGAAATGAGCCTTCCACTCATTCTTTCATTTGTTTGTTTTGTTTTTCGAGACCGGGTTTCTCTGTATTGTTTTGGAGGCTGTCCTGAACTCGATCTGTAGACCAGGCTGGCCTCGAACTCACAGAGATCCGCCTGCCTCTGCCTCCCGAGTGCTGGGATTAAAGGCGTGCGCCACCAACGCCCAGCCCAGCCTTCCACTCATTCTGTTGGCCTCCTCAGACAGTGTCCTATGAGAATGGCTATACTGTGTTGGACTCTGAAGCAAGTCTGTCTCATACTCTCTTTTCTGTGTTTACCCATCCCTGGCGTGGCATCAGCAAATGTTCCCAGAGACCAGCATTGCATTCTGAATTCATGGGAATCTAGTAGGTGTTCCACTAGTAGCAACACAGTATCTGCAGGGTGGAACCTAGAATTCAGTTGATTGATAGATTCAAAAAAGGATTGGAAAGAAAGAAGAAAATAGATTCAAATTTGAATGTCATTAATCTGAACCAAAACCTTTTGAATTTTGGTGCTGATTGTTGTAATTATTTGGGTCATGAAATCCAGATGCTCTGTGTTTTCTGGTAATGGCTTTATAAAACATTTGTCTGGGGCTGGAGAGATGGTTCAGTGGTTAGGAGCACTGGCTGCTCTTCCTAGAGGACCAAGCTTCAATTCCTAGTACCCACATGGCAGTTCATAACTGCATGTAACTTCGGTTTTGAGGGATCTGACACCTTCACACAGACAAGCAGATAAAACATGAATGCACATGAAATAAAAAATAAATTACTTAAAAATATTTGGTAGCTCTCAGTTGTGTGTGTGTGTTCTATTTTGAAATTGTTTGCGGCAGATAAACATTTTTTTCTGAGGTAGGAATGTGTATTTGTGCAAATTTAGAGGCCCTATGCTTTGTCATAAATCTGCAGTCCAGGCTGAGATCTGTAGTGTATGCCTTAAACACTGCACTTGGGGGCTGACATGGGAGAATTGTGAATTTCAGACCAGCATGGGCTTCCTAATCTGGCCTCGTCATAGGGGACAGAGGAGAACATGTGTACCTATGCATAAGTTCCCAGTTCTCAGCTCCGCTTTGTATGGCTCTGAGCTTCCTTTGTGTGTAGCTTATAAAAGGGCAGTGATGCACACTTTAAAGAGGGTTTTTTTTTTTAAGGTGGGGAAAGTCTTTTTGCATATTTTGGTTGATAGGGTGTTTTTGTTGTTGTTGTTTTCTGGTTTCTTGAGACAAGATAGTTCTGGCTGCCCTGGAACTTTGTGTGTGAACTGGCTGGCTTCGAACTCACAGAGGTGTTTTGTTTTTTGAGGTAATGTTTCCTGTCCTACTATGTGGGTCCTGGGGATTGACGTCAGGCTTCGCAATGGGCAACTTTACCCACTGGGCCTTCTTGCCTGCTCAGGACATCTTTTTAAATATGTGTTAATATAAAGTATTAAAATATTTACCAATTTCTAAAGTAGATACGTAAATCTTAAAAATTACTTTGGAGAATTTCACAAGTGTATTTTCAAGTTTCAAAGGATTTCACTATGGGGTTATTTTCGTTATTTTTAATAGGTGTGTGTGTGCGTGCCCTTAGGACAACTGTGGATTCCTCAACTGTTCTATGAAAGAGAATGTTTTTCATTCGCTTAGGGAAAAGTGATTTGAATATTCATGTACATTCAAAAAACTGTATGTTAGTGTTGTGATAGCTAACAGGCACCAGTAGAGGGCACTCCAGTTCAGCGGTTTCGAATTATAGATGGGCTTGAAAATGGAGGTTTCTTGGAAGACACTCACTTAAAAAGTACTCAGAGGTTACACTGAAAGGTGTTTGTCCTTATTCTCCCTAACTATGAGGGAGAAAACAATACTCTCAAATTTAATTGCTACAGCAAAACACATCTGTATAAAATAACCTTTGGGGACCCATCGTGGAGGGGAAGGTTGAGTCAGGAGGGGGTAGAATCCAAGCCATCCTGGACTATATGGGGAATTTAAGCCTAGCCTGGGGTACATAGTAATTTTGAAGACAGCCTGGGAAAGACCCTATCCTTAAAAACATGAATAACTAAGGCCGATGAGAAACACTGACTCACAGTTGTCCTGTTACCTCCAGGTATGTGGTGCCATGGATGCATGGACATGCAAAATGAAGGAATAAAATGTAATTTATAATAAAAATAAAGATAAAAATTCTAGTGAAAATTTGGTCATTTGAAGAGAAGTGTTTGCGGTGTTTTGAAACTGGGTTAAACAGATCAACTTTAAGGAAAACTAGAAGTCCCTGTGGCAGTGCACAGCAGGTAGTGACAGCAAGAGAGTCTGGATGAGGAAAAAGAAAGGTTCATTGCCATACGTTGGGAAAGTGCTCATGCCAAACCTGTTCCTCTGCCGGGGCTCAGCTCACAGCCGGAGGGCTGTCCCCATGAGTGCTGTGGGGGCCTGTCCCCATGAGTGCTGTGGAGGGCTGTCCCCATGAGTGATGCTGTGGGGGGCTGTCCCCATGAGTGCTGTGGAGGCCTGTCCCCATGAGTGATGCTGTGGGGGGCTGTCCCCATGAGTGCTGTGGAGGCCTGTCCCCATGAGTGCTGTGGAGGGCTGTCCCCATGAGTGATGCTGTGGAGGGCTGTCCCCATGAGTGCTGTGGAGGGCTGTCCCCATGAGTGCTGTGGAGGGCTGTCCCCATGAGTGCTGTGGAGGGCTGTCCCCATGAGTGCTGTGGAGGGCTGTCCCCATGAGTGATGCTGTGGGGGGCTGTCCCCATGAGTGCTGTGGAGGCCTGTCCCCATGAGTGATGCTGTGGGGGGCTGTCCCCATGAGTGCTGTGGAGGCCTGTCCCCATGAGTGCTGTGGAGGGCTGTCCCCAGGAGTGCTGTAGGGGGCTGTCCCCATGAGTGATGCTGTGGAGGGCTGTCCCCATGAGTGCTGTGGAGGCCTGTCCCCATGAGTGCTGTGGAGGCCTGTCCCCATGAGTGATGCTGTGGAGGGCTGTCCCCATGAGTGATGCTGTGGAGGGCTGTCCCCATGAGTGCTGTGGAGGGCTGTCCCCAGGAGTGCTGTGGAGGGCTGTCCTCATGAGTGCTGTGGAGGGCTGTCCCCAGGAGTGCTGTGGAGGGCTGTCCCCAGGAGTGCTGTGGAGGGCTGTCCTCATGAGTGCTGTGGAGGGCTGTCCCCATGAGTGCTGTGGAGGGCTGTCCCCATGAGTGCTGTGGGGGCCTGTCCCCATGACTGATGGTGGAGGCCTGTCCCCATGAGTGCTGTGGGGGCCTGTCCCCATGAGTGCTGTGGAGGCCTGTCCCCATGAGTGCTGTGGAGGCCTGTCCCCATGACTGATGGTGGAGGCCTGTCCCCATGACTGATGGTGGAGGCCTGTCCCCATGAGTGCTGTGGAGGGCTGTCCCCATGAGTGCTGTGGAGGGCTGTCCCCATGAGTGCTGTGGAGGGCTGTCCCCATGAGTGCTGTGGGGGCCTGTCCCCATGAGTGCTGTGGAGGGCTGTCCCCATGAGTGCTGTGGAGGGCTGTCCCCATGAGTGCTGTGGAGGGCTGTCCCCATGAGTGCTGTGGGGGCCTGTCCCCATGAGTGCTGTGGAGGGCTGTCCCCATGAGTGCTGTGGAGGGCTGTCCCCATGAGTGCTGTGGATTCCTGTCCCCAGGAGTGCTGTGGAGGCCTGTCCCCATGACTGATGGTGGAGGCCTGTCCCCATGAGTGCTGTGGAGGGCTGTCCCCATGAGTGCTGTGGAGGGCTGTCCCCATGAGTGCTGTGGGGGCCTGTCCCCAGGAGTGCTGTGGAGGGCTGTCCCCATGAGTGCTGTGGAGGGCTGTCCCCAGGAGTGCTGTGGAGGGCTGTCCCCATGAGTGATGCTGTGGGGGGCTGTCCCCATGAGTGCTGTGGAGGGCTGTCCCCAGGAGTGCTGTGGAGGGCTGTCCCCATGAGTGATGCTGTGGGGGGCTGTCCCCATGAGTGCTGTGGAGGGCTGTCCCCATGAGTGCTGTGGAGGGCTGTCCCCATGAGTGATGCTGTGGGGGGCTGTCCCCATGAGTGCTGTGGAGGGCTGTCCCCATGAGTGCTGTGGAGGGCTGTCCCCATGAGTGCTGTGGAGGGCTGTCCCCATGAGTGATGCTGTGGGGGGCTGTCCCCATGAGTGCTGTGGAGGGCTGTCCCCATGAGTGATGCTGTGGAGGGCTGTCCCCATGAGTGATGCTGTGGAGGGCTGTCCCGATGACTGATGGTGGAGGGCTGTCCCCAGGAGTGCTGTGGAGGCTGTCCCCATGAGTGATGCTGGTCTCCTTTCTAGATCCCAGAAGAAAATACCACGTGAGGCTGCTGGCTTACAACAACATGGAAGATGGCTACCAGGCTGACCAAACTGTCAGCACTCCCGGATGCGTGTGTGAGTGACAGCCACATAGCTTTGTGCTGTGGCTCAGACATGCCCCCTACCTCACCCCTTGTTTGAAATTCAGTTTCCCTACTACTTGGAAGACTGGGTGGGGGTGGGTGCAATTTCTTTATATTCTCAAGCTGCTGAGCACATCTTGAATAAGTGGGTACTCATTAAAAGTGGGATGTTTAATTTCTAAGAACCTGTTTTAATTTTGCAAGCAGAAGACTGCTAGAAATTAACTGGGGAAAACACATGGGCTACCTACACACTGAATTTCCTTTTATCTGCTTTTGCCTGGAGGCCATTTGTTTCTCTAATTACTTCTGTGCATTGTTCTTCTAGCTCTGGCTTTCTCTGCCTTTGACTAGTACCTTGCTTTTCCATGTGGTTATTGGGGGATTTTTGTTTAGGTGGGGCTTGAGACAGGGTCTCACTATAGTCCTGGCTGTCCTAGAACTTACTATATAGACAAGCCTGGCCTTGAACTCAGAGACCTGTCTCTGCCTCCTAAGATTGAAAGCATCTGCTACCACACTGGAGTATTTGCTTTTCCTTTTCTTTTTTGGGGAGGGTGGGGGTCATTTTTGTTTGTTTGTTTTTTCAAGATAGGATCTCACTATGTAGCTCTGGCTTTTCTGGAACCCACTATGTAGACCAGGCTTGCCTCGAACTCAGAGATCTGCATGCCTCTGAATGCTGGGGCTAAAGGCATGCACTACTAATACTGTCTAGAGCTATTGTTTTCAGACAGTTAAGCGTTTGACTCTATCTGACTCACAGAAGAGTTTGTTGTTGGTTTGAGTGAGTCAGGGATAGACCATTATGAGACTGGCGAGAGAAAGATCTCAGATCCACCGACCTTAGAGTTCTCTCATTTTCCATTATACTGCTCTCTGCAACACCCAACCCTTGCAGTAAATTCGTGTTGCATTTCTCGATAGCTGTTCGCGATCGCATGGTCCCTCCGCCGCCGCCACCCCACCATCTCTATGCGAAGGCTAACACCTCCTCTTCCATCTTCCTGCACTGGAGGAGGCCTGCATTCGCCACGGCCCAAGTCATTAACTACACCATCCGCTGTAACCCTGTCGGCCTGCAGAACGCCTCTCTGGTTCTCTACCTGCAAACGTATGTAGCTTGCCTCCGTGGTTGTTTCCTTTGCCATCCTGGCTGCTCGCTTTTCCTACTACTGACTTGGGCTCAGTTTGAGCTTCATGGAGAGCACTCATTTCAGAGCTGATAGTCTAAAATATCTGGAAGTTTCGGTTCCCATTGTCCATTCAGTTCTGAAAACTGTGCTTCCTTGGCACGAATTGATACGTGTGGACTCTTGGAAATACGGTACTGGCACTAACAACCCCTTACTCTTTACCACAGATCAGAAACCCACATGTTGGTTCAAGGACTGGAACCAAACACCAAGTATGAATTTGCTGTCCGGCTGCATGTGGACCAGCTCTCCAGTCCCTGGAGCCCTGTGGTCTACCACTCCACCCTGCCAGAAGGTAGAAACTGCAGCTGCCCATGGAGCTCTTGATTTCATTCATTCATGGGTTCATTCATTCTCTTATTTATTACATGATTGGGCGTTTTGGCTGCATTGTGTCTGTGTAGCACATGTATACAGTGTCTACAGAAGACGGCATCAGAGACTCTACTGGGACTTGAGCTCAGGTCCTCTAGAATAACAGCAGCTAGTGCTCTTAACCAGTGAGCCATCTCTCTAGTCCCACCATGAATTTTATATACATAGTTTTTATTTGTGTGTGTGTGTGTGTGTGGTTTTGTTTTGTTTTGTTTTGTTTTTTTTTTTACTATTGTTGCTTCAAGACAGGGTTTCTCTGTGTAACAGTCCTGGCTGCCTGGCTGTCCTGAAACTTGTTTTGTAGGCCAGGTTGGCCTCAAAGTCACAGAGATCCACCTGCCTCTGCTTATATATTTTTAAGCTGATTTTTGTTGTTGTTTGGTTGTTTATTTTGAGACAGGATCAAAATGGCTATAATAGAACTCAGTCTGTAGACTAGACTGAGCACAAACTTAGGTTGCTTTTGTTTTGTTTTGTTTTTTTGACACAGGGTTTCTCTGTGGCTTTGGAGGCTGTCCTGGAACTAGCTCTTGTAGACCAGGCTGGCCTCGAACTCACAGAGATCCGCCTGCCTCTGCCTACCAAGTGCTGGGATTAAAGGCCACCACCGCCCGGCTGCTTTTGTTTTTTCTGAGACAGGGTTTCTCTGTGTAGCCCTGGCTGTCCTGTCACCCTGTAGACTTGGCTGGCTTCAAACTTACAGAGATCTGCTTGTCTCTGTTTCCTGGGATTAAAGGTGAGCACCACCACTGGGAGGCAGTCAGGAGGCAAAGAAATGGAAGGTTATCCCTGTCTGCATAGGGAGTTCCAGGACAAGCTGCGATTAGAAGACGGGATATGCCACTCTGAGAGCAGCATCTCCCCAGCCCCTCCCAGCTGATGGATATGTGCTTTCTCATTTTCTTCCCTTTTGAATTTTCCCCGATTATAGTTAAGGCTATTTTTTTTCTTTTTCTTTTTTTCTTTTTTTAAAGTTTATTTATTACATATACACTGTTCTACATGCCAGAAGAGGGCACCAGATTGAATTGTAGATGGTTGTGAGCCACCATGTGGTTGCTGGGAATTGAACTCAGGACCCCTGGAAGAGCAGTCAGCACTCTTAACCTCTGAGCCATCTCTCCAGCCCCTATTTTTTTTTCTTCTAGGAAAAATTACAAGCCATTTAGCTTTTGTTTCCATCCGTTTGCGGACTCCTTTTTAATTTTTCCCCGTTCAGCCGTGATGTTCAAACCTCAGTGTCTGCTCACAGAGAGTGGAAACAGCTTATTAACGCTCTTAGGAGTCCACCTCACACCGAGCTCTCCTGTGAGTGCCGGCCTGGTGCTGCGCCCAGAGCCGTGTCAGTAGCTGGCTGTGCACCAGCTGTGACATCTGTGTTTTGTGACCCTAGATCTGTGGTTTTGATGATAGCCCGTAAAACACAGCACGAAAGCCCATCTCTCCATACTCTGAGCTCTCGTTAAACGTGGAGTCAGCTGGTGTCCCATGATTTCACTGGCGTTCACACACAGAAATTCTTATTTGAGTCTGGTCTGTAAACACAGATTTTGGTGTCTGGGGAAACAGCAAAATGCTTTAGTCTCGGTAGCATTTGCCTCAAGCTTTCTGGATCAGATTATTGTTCTAGACATTTTAGTAGCAGCTACAGTTTGGAGTCAGTACCGATAGGGGCTTTTTCTGCTGAACAGATGAAACAAACTCTACACCCTCCCTGCTTCCCACTCTGTGCCAGGAATTGTTTCTGCGGCCTCACTCATGCACGGCAGTTCCCTGCTTCCATGAGCCAGTCTAATTAGTCCTTTAACAACGGTATTTCAAAAGTCCTGAAAATCCCATCCCTTGGACCTAGGACATTTCCATGTAGAGTCTACCTCTTCTTTTGATCCACAGTCAGACACGTTATCCATTGTGCCACTGGCCCGGTGCTAAGTCTACCCTCTTCTTTATGTTTTGGCTCGTTTTGTTTTTTAATGTTTTCAACCTGAAAGTAAAATTAAAATTGGGGAAATAGCTCCATGGGTAAGTGCTGGGTGATTACCTAGCATGCATGAAACCCTCGGTTTTACCCAGCACCACATAAACCAGAGCCTGCCTGTTCCTGGCTCTTGGGAGGTAGAAGCGGAAGGGTTATATTGAAGGCCAGCCTCTTATTACAACGACCTTCAAGAGCTGTGATGTTTGGATTTGTCCTAGGAGTTTCTGATTGTGCAGACTCGTCCATGGTTCTCCGCCTCTCAGCCAGCAGTGGAGTGCTTGTAACTCCCCTAACCCTGCTCATATAGTATCATTCTCATGTCCCCACAGCACCCACAGGCCCCCCAGTGGGCGTAAAGGTCACACTGATAGAGGATGACACTGCCCTTGTTTCCTGGAAACCCCCAGATGGCCCAGAGACAGTCGTGACACGCTACACCATCTTGTATGCTTCCAGGAAGGCCTGGATTGCGGGCGAGTGGCAGGTCCTGCACCGAGAAGGTGAGTGTGATCAAGGTCGGTGACAGTAAGATATCATCAGCGTCACAGGGAGACCGAGGAAGGGATACGGAGCTCTCATTGAATTCATATTCTTATGTGGGAAGTAACAAATTACTCAGGTTTCTGGCTTTGTTCAGAGAGCGTTGGCAAGCCGTCCATCAGTTCCCCCGGACCGATCGATTGTGTGTGTGTGAGTACAGACACACGTGCGCATGTCTCAGTGCACACATGACGATCAGAGGACGGCTTCGGGCGTGGCTCTTGCTTTCCACCGTGTTCAGGCAGGGTCTCATTTGTTTCTGCCTCTCATAGCTGACCTCTCTCCACCTCCCATCTCACCACCGGAGTGCTGGGATTACAGATGTGCCACCACATCTGGGCTTCGCCGTAGGTTCCAGGAATGAAACTTGGCTTGTCAGGGTTGCTCACCAAGCCCCTTGCCTTCTGAGCCATCTTGCTGGCCCCAGTTTTTTTTTTTAAAGTACAGAGAAAACCTGGTTAGGAATTAATAACACTGTTAAAGATTCTTAAACATGCCGGGCATTGGTGGGAGCTGGGATAAAAGAGAATTTTCCTTTTTTTTTAAAGATTTAAAATTTATTTTTAATTATGTGTGGCTGGATTTGTGCATATGAATGCAGTTCCTCACATAGGCCAGAAGAGGGCATCAGATTTCTCAGAAGAGGCATTTTGAGCCACCTTGTCCTTGCTGAGATGTGAACCTAGGGCCTTTGCAAGGGCAGCCGGTGCTCTTAGCTATGGACCATTCTCATCAGCCATGTCTTCTGAAGTTCTGATGAGCTCTTATGAGCCCCACTGGCTTCTGAGGAGACTTGGAAGTACTGAGGACTTGACAGTTTGTCAGTGTCCCTTGCAGCTTCAAAGACCCCTCAACAGTTTCAAGCAGTTGTTGCATTTTCTTATTGATTCCGTGAATCTCGACTCTGATAGGGATGAGGAATCTAGGGACAGTGGGGAGAGGTGTCTAGATAAACCTCTGGAAACCAAGTGTCTCCAACCTTGGCTGTGTTACACGTACTGATGTCCGTTAGATACAGTAAATTACATGGTCAAGTCCTGACCGTGACTCTTAGGGTGGCTGCCCAGAAGGGTGAATAGGTGGAAACCCAAGGAGGGTTCTTTAATAGCATATCTAGCTTACATTCTTTAAACATAAACGTGTCTGGGGGCGGCGGCAGGAGTGGTAAGGGAGGCCAGAGGACAACATGTAGGGTTGGTTGTCTCCACTATGTGAGTCTTGGGCATTGGACTTGGTTTGTCATGCGTGGTGGCAAGAGCCTTTGACCTCTTTGCCCTTTTGGGGGGGGGCCTACCATGTGTCTTGTGTTAGGTTTATTTTTACCGTTATCTGTCTGTGTGTGCAGTGCCTACAGAGGCCAGAGGAGGATGCTGAGTCCCCAGGAGCTGGAGTGACAGGCAGTTGTGGGCTTCCAGACATGGGTGTTGGAAACTGAACTCAGGGTCCCCCAGAAGAGCCCCATTTTAGCCCGTGAGCCATCTCCCCACCCCCTACTGCAGTTCAGTTTCAGTCTCTCATTTCCAAGATGGCTTATTGACACAATACTTGACCAAATGACAAATCTGATTCAGTGAGGTGCCATAAATATTAATAAGGACCCACTTGAGCTCGTCACTTTGAATTCCTGTTTCTTGCCTTCTTAAAAGGAAACAATAATTTCCTTTGCCTGTTTTCAACTTGACCCATTGTGGAGTTTGGGAAAGAGCTCAGAAATGAATATCTTACCTCACTTCTGGCTCCATGGAGACGCGGACAGTAATTGCAGGCTTTGCATCTCTGCGAACCTTCTTAACAACATAACTGTGTGCAGGAAAACATGATCCGCTTGCTGCTTGGTGAGGTTTTCAGGAACGTTCTTGTGAAAAGCTTTTGTCGTTTGTTAAATGGAGAGAGCTTTCTTTATAGTTAGTGCTGTGGCTCAGAAAGAACAAGTAAATAATATAAGAAAAAGCCATTGAGTCCCTGTTTTGAGAGAGAAAATATAAAGGAGTCAACCTGTAATTACTTAAAAAGCAAGGAACACAGCTCGGAATAGAGAAAAACTTAAAATGGAAAACTGTCTTTTGTATCCGAACATAACAGTTTTGGAAAGGTAAGAATGTAGGGAAAGATGGGGAAGTAAGGATTTTGTCATATCTGATCATTTTTCTTCCCTTTTTTGAAACAGGGTTTCTCTATGTAACCCCGACTGTCCTGGAACTTGCTCTGTAGATCAGGCTGACCTTGAAGTTGGAGATCTGCCCTCCTCTGCCCCCATCCTCCCACCTCTAGTGCTAGGATTGTCACACACCACCACTGCCTGGCTGACAATCTTTACTATGTGTAAATGTATGCATATATACGTTCACATTTAATACCAATGGACCAAGAATTTAATTATTTTTGAGGAACAAAATATTTGTGACTGGCAAGATGGACCATCAGGCGAAGGTGCCTGCTTGCCATTGAGGCTGACCTCCTGGGTTTGATACCTGGGACCCACGTGGTGGAAAGAGAAAACTTTCTTTCTTTCTTTCTTTCTTTCTTTCTTTCTTTCTTTCTTTCTTTCTTTCTTTCTTCCTTCCTTCCTTCCTTCCTTCCTCTCCCCCTCCCTTTCTGTAACTGAAATCATTTTTGATGGGCAGAAAGAATGTGTTTACATGTGCTGTTGACTCACAAACCTTAAATTAATTGGGCTGGGGGTGTGGCTCAGCTGGCAGGATGTTTGCTTAGTGTGCAAGAAAGCCTGGGTTTAATCCCCAGCCCTGGAAAAACTGATCATGGTAGTGTATCTCAGCACTTGGGTTGTGGAGCAGGAGGATCAGGAGCTCAGGGCCATCCTTACCTACATAGTGAGTTTGAGGCTAGCCTGGGCTACAAAGACTTTGTCTCATAAAACAAAAATAATTTTTTTCACCTGAGACAGGATTCCTGGCTGTCTGGAATTTTCTCTATAGACCAGGCTGTCCTCGAACTCACAGAAATCCACCTGCATCTGCCTCTCAAGTGCTGGGATGAAAGGCATTTGCCTGGGACCACCGCCCGGCCAAAGCTTTTTTTTTTTTTTTAATTAAATGAAAAATTTGCTTTTGGTAGTGGTAAGTTTTTGCCAAGCATTTTGAAAACTTAAATGTATTTCATGATAAAACGGGAGCATTATTTTCATCTCCACTTATGAAGAAATTGGAATGGCCCTCCAGCTAATTTTAACTTGTCACGGTACATCTTTGTTTTGTAATGCTTCTGCCTGCATCCAAGGTACACAGTACAGACTCTTCCTGCTTCTAAATAGGATTTCTTGTGTTTATTTAGCAGCTGGGTTATTCAAGTAACTTTCTCTTCAGGCCAAGTTGAAACCAGAGAACATGAAAACAAGTCCCGTTGGGCTCCTGGTGCTTCCACTGGTGGCTGGGCCACCTCACAGTGTGTGACCTGCAGAGTGGCCTCGGTATCAGGGCTTCTGCTGTAGGATAGCCCACACTTCCCTTGCTTATGAAGCACACCCTAGTAAGTGCTCCAGAAAAGCCAGCCCTGGCTTTGCAGCTGACTACAGTAAGCCCTTGTAAGCTTTCTGAAGTTGTTGTAGGTCCCTGCGCATCTGGGGAAAAGGAGAACGCTCCCTCCCCACACCAGGAAAGCCAGGTGTCCCTGTGTACTTACTAGACAGCGTCATGGCAGTGTTATGGCTGACTTTCTTAAAGGGAAATACTTTAAATGCAAAAATAAATGCTAAGGTTCAAACAGGAATCCTCAGTGGCCATCGCAGAGAAAAACACAGATAGATGCTAAACATCTGTGGATTCCAATGATGGTTACCTTCGGAGAGAAGTAGATCTCAGGCAGATGTTCTTTTTAAAAGAAGCTTGGGCATCCTTTCAAAGCGTTTTTATTCATTTTGTGTGTGTGTTGACTGCTGCAGGCTGCTGTCTGAGCTCCATGTGCACGCCAGCATGCACACAGCCACATACACAGAGCACACACGCAGCAGAAATGTAATAAAATGTTTGCAGAAGAGTTAACCTGTGAGAGGTCTTCCTTCAGTCTCTGTGGTTCCCATAGAAACCTGTTTTTGTTTTAAAAACAAGATAATCTGTTGCTGAAAGGTTCACTCAACATTTGGAAAATATTTATGTTCTTTCTCAGTGAAATATGTATTTCTATTATTTAATATTTTTACTTTTAATCTTATTTTCATGTGTGTGGGTGTTTGCCTGCATGCATATCTATGTACCACTTCCATGCCTGGTGCCTGTCTGTGGAAGCCAAAGAGGGCACTGGATTCCCGTGGGTGCTGGGGATTTAACTTAGGTCTTTTGCATGATCAGTACACACTCTCAGCTGCTGAGCCGTTTCTCCAGCCCCTATTCTTGTGTAAGAAGGAAGAACAGGCACATCTAAAACAGCTGTTGCCCTAGGTAGCTTACACAGTTATAATTAAGAAAGAAAGATTGGCCTGACGGTGGTGGCGCACACCTTTAATCCCAGCACTTGGGAGGCAGAGGCAGGAGGATCTCTGTGAGTTCGAGGCCAGCCTGCTCTACAGAGCGAGTTCCAGGACAACCTCCAAAACAATACAGAGAAACCCTGTCTTGGAAAAACCAAGAAAAAACAAACAAACAAATCCTCCACCTAAAATACCATTCTAGAGGTCTTTGTGGACTGGCCATATATGCATAGTACAGTGTTAAGTGAAAACATTAAGATGGCAAAGTACTTGAGGTGAATATGTGCTTCGGCTGTGGATGTAGCTCCAAGCACAAGGACCTGGGTTCAATCCTAGCCCCATACCAAACCAAAAAATTATTTCTGAAAAAACAAATGAACAAACAAATCTATGTTCATTCATTTGTACACATATAAATAATTTAAATGTCAGCAATGGAATAATCAATGTATCTTTATTTAAATCTGTTTCCCAGATGACCCATGATGAAAAGTCAATTCTATAATCAGAGAAAAGAGGATTTTTTTAAAGATTTACTTCTATTTTTATTTATGTTTGTGTGCATGCCACATGTATGTGGGTGGCTGTGGAGTCCAGAAGAGGATGAACCCTTGGAACTGGAGTTACTGGTGGTTGTAAGCTGTATGACATGGGTGATGGGAATTGTACTTGGAACTGGAGTTACTGGTGGTTGTAAGCTGTATGACATGGGTGATGGGAATTGTACTTGGAACTGGAGTTACTGGTGGTTGTAAGCTGTATGACATGGGTGATGGGAATTGTACTTAGGTCTTCTGCAAGATCAGCAAACACTCTTTTGTTGTTTTTGTTTGTCAGTTTTCCAAAATAGAGTTTCTCTGTGTAGCTTTGGAGTCTGTCCTGGAACTTGATTTGTAGATCACGCTGGTCTTGAACTCACAAAGATCTGTCTGCCTCTGCCTCCCGAGTGCTGGGATCAAAGGTGTGCTCCACCACCACCCAAACAGCAAACACTCTTAATGGCTGAGCCATTATCTCTCCAGACCCTAGGGGGAAAAAGTTTTTTTTTAATTTATACCATGAAAAAGAACTTCTTAAGTGCTGGTCCATGTTTGTATGGCTGTAAATATTTACTTAATTTGTATGTTTCTAGGGGCAATCACCATGGCTCTACTGGAAAACCTGGTGGCAGGGAATGTGTACATTGTCAAGATATCTGCGTCCAACGAGGTGGGCGAAGGGCCCTTCTCAAATTCCGTGGAGCTGGTTGTCCTCCCCAAGGACACCTCAGAATCGAACCAGAGGCCGAAGCGATTGGATTCTTCTGATGGCAAAGGTCTGGATGCTGCACAGTCACTGGGTTTTCATCCCTAGTACTTGACTTCAGCTCCCACAGTTGCCATACCCCTAACCCTACACTTGATTTGCTGAATTGTTGCTGGTGGGGTTCTGGGGTTTCTGGGCTGCATGACTGTCTTGTATGATCCTAGAAAGCAGAGGGGGAAATACCTCAGAATGAACTTTCAGCTCCCAGACCACAGTCCTCCCAGACTACAGTGCTCCCAGAATACAGTGATCCCAGATAACTGTGCTCCCAGACCACTGATCTCCAGACCACAGTGCTCCCAGTTGCTTCCCCAGACCACTGTGTTTCCAGTTTCTTCCCCAGCTGTGCAGCCACTGGGCTGCATGAGTCGCACACTGATGGGTGTCAGCATCCTGGAAGGTTCTGAGAAAACAAGCAGCAGAGGTGGTTGTGGTACCAAGGCTGGGAGGAGCCTGGATTTCATTAAGAAAAACAGCTCTACCAACCAGAAGGTTGTTTTTACTCAGAAAAACAGTTGGGAATAGGGGAAATGTGGCTAAGCAGCCACCCCCACTCAGGACTCTCAATGTCTCCTGGTCTAAAGGGAGCCAGTGCCTCCTGGTCACCTCACTCTGGTTTCTATGGAGACCTAGAAAAGCTGCCTGCAGAACACAAAGGGGCCAGATGGTGGCGGCCACTTTTAGTCTCAGAACTCTGGAGGCAGAGGCAGGTGGATCTCTGTAAGTTCAAGGCCAGCCTGGTCTACAAAATGAGTTATAGGACACCCAGGGCTACACAGAGAATCCCTGTCTTGAATAAAAAGTTTAAAAAAAAAAAGAACCGGAAAGAGGTAGCTGTTTTGCAGTTTTGGTAGAACCAAGACAGGGTTTGGTTCCCAGCTTCAGGGAGCCCTGAGATTGCCTTCTGGTCTGTGGGAACTGAACACGTGTACATGCACACAGACACCCACATAAATTAAAAATAAAAGGAATTGCCGGGCAGTGGTGGCACACGCCTTTAGTCCCAGCACTCAGGAGGCAGAGGCAGGCTTTGAGGCCTGCATGGTCTACAGAGAGAGTTCCTGGACAGCCAGGGCTGTTACACAGAGAAACTCTGTCTCAATAAAAACCAAATAAATGAAATTCTAGATTGGTGCTCATTGTTTGATATAATAGTATGCTGTCTAAATGTGATCTCAATCTTCAATACTAGAAGATAAATTGACTTCTGTAATCACTGGCAAAAATCAATTCTTGACTCTTCTGCTTAGATGGAACATCTAGACTTCCCCTGTGAGATAAAGGCACATTACAGAAAAGCAGCCGTGTGAACGCTGGTATGCGGAATGCGGTTGTTTCTTCTGATTGAGTAAACGTGTTCCTCTCTAGTTTCTTCAGGCTATTACCATCTGGACCAGAAGTCAATGACGGGTATCGCAGTAGGCGTTGGCATAGCCTTGACCTGCATCCTCATCTGTGTCCTCATCTTGATATACCGAAGCAAAGCCAGGTACGTTTCCCGTGCCCAAGATGCTGATGTAGGGCCTGGAGTGACGGGCTCACAGGTAAAATGCCAAGTGTGAGAACCAAAGGTCCCAGGACCCACCGAGATGCTAGGAGGGTGTGGGGCATGCCTGTCATCCCAGTTTTCAAGAGGCAAAGGCAGGACAACCCCTGCAGCTCCACAGCCAGTCTGGCAGAAATGGCGAGCTCCGGTTTCAGTGAGAGATTCAGCCTCCAACGTAAAGTGGGAAGTGATTGACACCTGGGTCAACCTCAGCTCTCCTCCTGCAGGCTCATATATGTACGTATGTATGCATGCAAGGGAGAGATGCTGTAATGGTTACAAATACTTAAATGACAGCAGCTGCAGGAAACACATTGAAATCAAGAGCCTTGTGGAATCAACTGGGTTATTTTCCTCCTTAAAAGGAGTGTTATGTTATGGGGTCTTTACAGCTCAGAGTGTGCTGGATTTATGCTGAGATTTTCCTGCCATTTGTGGAGGGGAAAAAAACTGCTGTGCCAATAAAAATCCCTAGATGAGGATTTGGTGTCTGCATTTCTGTATCATTTCAAGAAAATGAGAAGTCTATTTGAGCGAAGTCTATTTTCATGGCACACTTATCCAGCACACACCCCTTCCCCCATAGGATTCCTTATGTCTCAGTATTGGTAGCAGGCTTGCGTTAGTCAGCAAGAGAGGTAAAGAGCGAGTGGCCGGAATCTCGGGCTAGTGACGTGAATAGAGATGTGTTAGCCGTCAGCTATCAGGCAGATCTCAGACACTATAGCAGTGAGTAGAGCTCAGGAATATTTGTATTCCAAAGATAATTGAGACGTAAGCATTGAAGAAGCCCATTGCTCCCAAACCTGTGTGCTGAGGAGCTAGCCCTGTTAGGAGCATGCTCAGTTAGCATGAAGCCCTGGGTTCATTCCCCAGCACTACATAAAGCCAGTTGTGGTGACTCACACCTGTCATGGTGGCACTCAGGAGATAGTTCATGGTGGCTCAGTGGATGAATGGCTCAGAATGGTTCAGCGTGGCTGTGTGGATACAGGTGTTGCTCACAAGCCTGACTTCCAGAGTTTAGTCCCCAAAACCCACATGGTAGGGTCGTACTGAGTCTTGCAAGTTGTTCCATCACCTTCACATGTACGTCTTCATGTGTACACACACACACACACACACACACACACACACACACACACACTCAGTAAATAAAATAAATGTAAAAAATTTTAAAGCAAAAAAGTAAATTCAAAGTCATTCTCTTCACTGTCTCGGATGGATGGTGCATTTTATGGGGTTAAGTGCCAAATTTGGAGCACCTGCCCATATGAGATGAGATGAGAAGGTTTTCTTTTCTTACCAATATTTCAGGAAATCATCTGCCTCCAAGACAGCACAGAATGGAACCCAGCCGTTATCCCGAGCTGGTGCCTCTGTCGCTGCGGGAAGTGAAATGGGGAAGAACCTGGAGAGAGCTACAGAGAATGAAGAGTCCTTGGTACCCATGATGCCGAGCAGCTTCATAGATGCGAAGGTTGGCTATGTAATGCTTCTCTCCTTGAGTGCAATTAGCTTAGCAGGAAAGTGTGTTGAATGTGTTGTGTATGTATTCCTGTTGATTATACTTATATACGCCACCCACAGTTTGAGGGGAGAAGTTGAGGACACTTGAGAAAGAACAGAGGATGGAAGGTACAGGAAGAGGTGGGGACAGAGACATTAGACGGGGTTACGGGAGCTGGGATGCACCATCGTTAGTGGTTATTTCCTATAATGTGGGCTCCCCTGCACTTCTGGCGTCAGCACTTCTATTAAATTATTTTATGTTGAGTTTGGTGGTTGCCAGGATCGATTCTCAGAGCACACCAGTTACGAAGAACGTTTTAAGATTTACTTTTATATAAATATTTTATATGTATGAGTGTGTTGCCTGCATGTATGTCTCTGCAATATATGTGTGTGTGCCCAGTGCCCATCTGGAGTTACAGATGGTTATGAGCTGGAACACAGCCTGTGCTCTTAACCGTTGAGCCATCTCTGTCTCCTCCAAAGAACTTTTGTTTTAAATAAGAAAGATGCGGGCTGGAGAGATGACTCAGAAGTTACAAGAAGTTTCAAAGATCTTCCTTTCTTCCTCTCTTCCTTTCTCTCTTTCCTTTAAAAATTTTCAAGACAGGGTTTCTCTGTGTGGCTGTCCTGAAACTCACTCTGTAGACCAGGCTGGCCTCAGACTTGCAGACATCCGCCTGCCTCTGCCTCCCGAGTGCTGAGGGATTAAAAGTGCTTGCCACCACCCCTCTGTCCAGCCTCACCACATTCTTACACTCCATAACCAATGTGACATATGTCAGTCACCAGTGCTGCAGACATACCCACGTACCCAGAGCTTGGAGTGCATGTCCACTGCCTTGGCAAAGACTGTTTTCTAGATTGTTTAAAAGATTCTTAGAGAAGATGGTGATGTAGGGCGCCACCTGTGTCCTACAGAGCCAACCCCGTGTGGAAGAGGCTTCTCCCCTCTGGTCAGTCATCCTTCACAGACCCTTTCCTGAAGTTTACAGCGACAAAAACATTCTCAAGTTTTGGGGGGTTGTATATTAACTCTTTGCGTTTCTTTATGTTGTGTTTAACAGACATTTGATTTTTGCTGTTGCATTCGTGTTGTTTGCAGTCTGTTTTAGCTTTTACTTTATAATAAAAATCTAGCCCTATTCAACTTATTTCAAGTGTGTGTGTGTGTGTGTGTGTGTGTGTGTGTGTGTGTGTGTGTGTGTGTGTGTGTGTTCTCAAGGAGTGTAACCCATACTGGCTCAACTCACTATGTCACCAAAGCTACCCTTGAACTAATTCCTCAGCCTCCACCTGTTGAGTTCTGGGCTCACAGGCTCGTACCTCCACAGCCCGTTTATATGGTTCTGGGGATGAAACCCAGGGCTTCCTGCATACCAGGCAAGCACTGTACAAGCGACCCTTGTCCTCAGCCCCAGACTCCAAAATCGCTAATACTAGAGTATATTGCAGTTCTGTTATTATCAGTCTGGCTCCAGATGCAGGAAAAGCAGACAGGGGAGAAAAGGGCAGAATGTGAAATGAAAGAGGCAGAGAGCAGCTGGAGGCCCAGGTGGCCCCGTGGTTGGCCCGCAGATGGCAACGCCTTAGGCCCCCAGATGATGGCAACGCCTTACTTTTGGGTTCATGTGAGTCCAGGACATTGTTTCTCTCAACTGCTTTTAAACTATTTCAGTCATGCAAGAAAAGGTTGGATGGAGAATATAATGCACACATAGTAATATCCATAATTCCATACTTCTTCTTGCTATAACAAAAAAATTGTCAGCATTACCCTTTTTGCCAAATAGTTCAGTGTGTTCATAGCTTTTACTAAGGGTAGGAAGTAATTTTAAATAAGACATGTAAGAGAGAGGGTTAGGAGGTAGGAACAGAGTAAGCTGGCTAGGTGTTGTAGTGCCTTCCTGTCATCCCTTAGTACACAGGAAGAGGAAGACCGTGAGTCCCAGGCTAGCTCAGGCTACATAGTGAGATCCAGCCTCAAAGGTAGATTAAAAACGGGAGAGGTGGCTCAGGGGTTAGGAGCACTGACTTCCAGAGGTCCTGAGTTCAATTCTCAGCAACCACATGGTGGCTCACAACCACCTGTAATGAGATCTGGTGCCCTCTTCTGGCCTGCAGGCAGACATGTAGGCAGAACACTGTATATATAATAAATAAATCTTTGAAAGTAAATAAATAATCCTGGCGTTAATGTTTGTTTTTTCTTGCCGTATACATGGGTGTTTTGTCTTCACATATGTCTAAGCAGCACATATATGCCTGGGGTGTGTGTGTGTGTGTGTGTGTGTGTGTGTGTGTGTGTGTGTGTGTGTGTGTAAGCCAGAAGAAGGCATAGGATCCCCTGAAACTGGAGTTAGGGATGGTTGTGAGCTACCATGTGGGCGCTGGGAATTAAACCTGGGTCGTTTGGAAGGACCAGTTCTCTTAGCCACTGAGCTGTCTCTCCAGCCCTAATAGGATTCTGATGACACACAGATAACTGAATATGTTTTCTCCTGTGTACAAGAGGCGGTGCCATACGTGACCTTTGTCTTCTAGACATTTAGGATCTTTGTGTACTTCTTGGCGATGACTCGAATCTCTCAATTCTGAGGTATTTTCATTTTGTATTTCCTCAGGGAGGGACTGACCTGATCATCAATAGCTATGGTCCTATCATTAAAAACAACACTAAGAAAAAGTGGCTTTTCTTCCAAGACACTAAGAAGATGAAAGCTGAACAGGTAATCTACCCACGGGAGACTCCTTTACTGTCCACAGCATAAGAAACGGTAATTGAAAAGAATAGGAAAATGTAACGAGTCATCTTTGACAGACCGGGTTCTATTCTGACAGTGGAGGGCAGTGATGAGTGACAACCAGAAAGACGGTTGGGCTAGCAATCAGAGATGTGGTCTTCACTGGGCGGTGGTGGCGCATGCCTTTAATCCCAGCACTTGGGAGGCAGAGGCAGGTGGTTCTCTGTGAGTTCGAGGCCAGGCTGGACCAACAACCTCCAAAACAATACAGAGAAACCCTGTCTCGAAAAACCAAAAGAGAGAGAGAGAGAGAGAGAGAGAGAGAGAGAGAGAGAGAGAGAGAGAGATGTGGTCTTCAGTGGGGCATGAGGACAATAAGGAAAGAGAGTGACATGAGCGTGTATCAAAACAACCAATTTTAATTTTTAAAGATTTTTATTTTTTATTGTGTGTCTGTGCCTGTCTGAGTGGCTCTGTGTACACGAGTGCTGCCCTTGGAGGCCAGAAGAGGGCGTGGGACCGCTCGGAGCTGGAGTTGCACATGGTTGTGAGCCCCCCGGTGTGGGCGCTGGGCACCGAAGGGTCCTCCACCAGAGCGGCATGTGGCCGTAAGCGCTTAGCCATCTCTCCAGCCTCACCACGGAAGGTTTTAGCATTTCAGTTGGTATGGTCGTTCAGAAATGCCCCCAGCTGCCTGTCCGCGGGGCCACTGACCCAAACAGTCGGTTCACGTGAGCTGTCTGCCGTCTCATTGCTACCTCATCTGCTTTTGCCTTAGACACAACGACGGTTTACCACCCAGGCTGCTGTCTGCTTTTACCAGCCGGGCACCACCGTGTTGATCAGCGATGAAGACTCCCCCGGCTCCCCAGGCCAGACCACCAGCTTCCCAAGACCCTTTGGGGCTGCCCTCGACACTGAGCATTCAGCGAACAGCGAAGGCAGCCACGAGACAGGGGATTCTGGAAGGTTCTCCCACGAATCCAATGATGAGATACACCTGTCCTCGGTCATCAGCAGCACGCCCCGTACCTCGAGTCCCCTGGCTGGTGGCGATTCTGATGGAACTGCCGCACTGGAGAAGCGAGGAGAGCCCGCGGAGCCGGCCGAGCAGCCCACCTCCTCCTCAGCCGCTCAGCCGCCGCCTGCAGGGCCAAGCTTTGCCGCCGACGGCTTTCCCATCTGACAGCCGTGCTCAGGGATTTACAACCAGCGTCTGTTCGAAGGACAATGAACAGGGAGCCTACGCCTTTTGTGAAAATCTTGATGTCTTACTGGGTTTTTTTTTTATCTTTTTAAATTTTTTAATTATTTTTAAGCGCACGAATTTTGAATGTTTCAATTGTCAACAATGTGAAAAAGGGCAGTCAGGATGCTTGACTGGGTTCTAAGAGAAATCACTGGAGCGGAGGGAAGACTGCCCGAGCCCTCTGCTGAATAGCTACCTCAGTTTGCTGTTGGCAGACTCTGAAGAAGCGAGCGTGCTGCCTACTTCCGGGCTGGTTTCTCTCGGCGGCACAGCCAGCGGGACTTCCTAGTGACGCCGCGTGTCCCTTGTGTGTGTGATGTGTTTAACTGAGGAGTCCCGTGGGTAGATGAGGACGAATGTTGATCTGAAGCTCTGATTTTTTTTCCTTTTTTTTTTTTTAAGAACTGTGACATTTTCATGATTTGGATAATGTTAAGATCTCTGACTGTGAGGAGAAAATATGGGACTATATTTATTTGAATGGACGAAACCAGTATGTCTCTTTGGAGAAGAGAACCATTCCATAGCATGTAGAGGAGCGTATCCTTGCAAGGCTGTGGGATTGGAGCACCAGGGCAGGAGTCCTTTGCTCTAGCCTGCACCAGCCTGCCTTCTGCCTGCAAAAGCCACCTTGGCCCCATAGTCAGTCAAGGGCCGCGCTTTCAGAACATCTCCAGAGTTTCCCAGCTAGCTGCAAAACACAATGTAGGAAAGTGGTGTTGTTTTTTTTTTATTTTTTAATGGTTCAGATTTTCTCTTTTAAAATCCCAGTTGGGCTTCAAATGGGTCGAAGACGTGTCATGAAGTATTAAGAATGAAGATAAACAAAGCAGTAGAAAACAAGATGAACTTGAGGTTTTCGTAATAGCAGTGCCTTCCAATATAATGAGAATTTTTGCCTTATACCTTTTTAATATTCATGAAGATGTTTAGGAAAAGGGTACCACAAATTCGCCTTAACAAAGCTTGCATCTCACTGATAGCTCTGTTGCTATCCGGCACCTTGTTGGCGTTGTTCTCTTCCTGAAGCGCAGGCTTGCCTTGGGGATGTTGTGCCCCACCGCCCCGGTGGCTGAGCTTCCTGCCCTACTAACTCCAGGAGTGAGTTCATCTTCTGCCTGGCTTGAAATCAGCAAGTTCTTTACTCAGCCCCTTATAGTTCTCAGTCATGAGGCAACAACCTCGGTGCTGAGCCACATTCGAGGGACAGAAAAATGAGACGCATGAAACAGAGGCACGTCCTTAGCCTTTTAAAATCATTGGGTTTTGCCCTCCCCCGGTTTTCTGGAAATGGTATTTTAAAAGAGGGGCCCCCTGTGGGGGTTTCCCTTGAACCCCTCCCTCCACAGAGGAAACAGGTCCTGCCAAATGGTGTTCTAAAGTCACGGGAACTCTGCTGGATAATCATCCCGGTGCCCTCTATTCTCGATGACCCTACCACACAGTTTTTCCATTGTGATTCTAGAATGCCAGGCTTAGAACCTGACGCCCAGGCTGTGCCAGCCACCACTTCTGAGCACAGTTCTGTCCCTCCCGCTGTGGACTTTGTAGCAGAATGCTGGCGGGGAGGTTAGAAAAAAGAATAAGGAAAAGCAGAGTTTTAGGTGAACAACGGGAGGCAAGTAAGAGTGGCTTCCCCTGCCTTGGTGCTCCTGTTTATACTACCTCTTTTTAAAGTTATTCTAGTGTTATTGTTCTTTCCTGTACTCAGGGAGTTGTGTTTTGTTTCGTTTTGTTGTTTTGTTTCTTTTGAGCTCATGATGCATGGGCAGGTGCATTGACAGGGTATGGTGTCGTTTGGTTCGTTGTAGACGCCTGTGGGCCGACTTCTGTCAGAATCTACAACGAAGAGGTACAACGGGATCAGTTGTTTTCAGTCTTCAAAAGCAAACAGAATGTAAAGGTGAAACTTCAGGCTTAGGGCCACACACATCGGAACCGAGTCCCCGGCCTGGGTCATCTGAGGGTCTGAGGGGACACTGTCGCAGAAGAAAGTGCTCTGTTTATTAATGAATAGGCCCTTAGTTACAATAGACCGTTAGCTTATAACTATTTGCTAGCTCATTTTTTTAACCTCTTCATTCTATTCTTATGTAGACTTTTCTGTCATAATTCTGTTACCAGAGAATTTTCAGTAGAAAATGAAATTTCTATTATAATTACCCTAAATTTAAGTCACTAGAAACTGCTATAAATAGACTCAGTTACAAGAGATTTCTAACCCCAAACTGTAGGATTTATATTGATAGTTACAGTTAATTAGAGTAGTGACATCTTACTGTCACCAGAGTGTTTAAGCTGTAATTTCCTTGCCAGCAGATGGTTATAAAGTATTTCAACTGTAGGGTTGTTTTTCCCCCCCTTCAATAAGTAAAGAAATCTTTAACTCTATAGTATTAATGTATTTTCAAATTTTTGAAATTACTTGTTGGAAAGGAAAAAATCACTAAAAAATATGTATTTTGAACTCATGGAATAAGGTATTTAATGTTCAACAGAGGCTTTTGGCTTGGTGAAATCCAGCTTCTCTGAAGCCTGAAGTGCAAAACTCTAACTAACCTGTGAATTACCACTTCTCCCTCGGGGCGACATTGCTTCACCACATTCCAACCCCAAATAAGCTGATAGGAAACTTGACTTGTTTCTTTTTCCAAAGGGAGATTTGCTAGAATTGCTGATAACCTGCCTGTCATTTTTAATGTCAAATGTTACAAAATACTGCTCATCAGTATTTTCATACCAAAGACCATTAAAATATATAATTTAGTCTGTAAGTAAAGATGAGCAGATTTAAAATAAATTTATTTAGAAGCAGATAGGGAATCTAGCTTTAGTGGCAAAAAGAAAATACCAAAAGGCTAAGTTTACATAGTTAAAGGCAATACAGTTATATTGGTTATTTATCAGTGTTTTTTATTCGAGTACTTTATATCAGCAAATTAAAAAGAAATTAAAAACCAAAGATATTTAAGGTTACCTCAGAATATAGGGAAATTTAGCTGTACATTGAACTGTTGTTTGTTGTTTTATGTTAATGAAATGTCTCTCCAGAACCTCTCCTCTGTGCCCAGAGCGCGTCCTGAGGGTTTTCAGTGAAATCTGCTGGTTCAGCCACAGGGATGTTTTTGCCTAATGGTTCGATACTTCCGGAAGGCCCATGAGTGTGGCAGGTCAGCAGATACAACATTGGGCTCCTCTGTTACTGGGTACTGTGGGAACCGTAAATCCACCTGTATACTTGCATTCCTACGTAAAGTCACTCTCTGGCTATTCAGACAGCTTGAGGAAGTCAAATTCAACGAGCCACTGTTTGGATGGGCAGAGCTTTGAGTCAAAAGGTGGTTCTTAAATTGTAAAGTTTTCATTGCATCAGAGGAGCTGGGCTCTAATCTCAAATGGAAACCTGAGTGAAGAATGGCTTTTTTTTAAGTACAGAATCTAGAGATTTCTAAAAGATAGATTTACCCATTAAATGGTTTCTTGAAAGGTAACTAGGGAATTAGATGCTGCTGACATGTTACAGGCTTTCTTGCTGTTACCTCAAACACAAGCAACGCCAACAACTCGGCAGTGACTCGGGTGTGTAACATGTCTCGCTTTCTAGAGGGCTTCTGCAAAAAAATTAAAATAAATAAATAAATAAAAAGGCTCATGGCTGACGACTCAGGCACTGTTAAAGTCCTTAGAAAGACACCATTGAAAACAGTTTTCATGTCATCCAAAGCTGGCATGGTATCCCCCTCAACCAGTCAAAGGAAGGATAGGCGGGTCGCTGAGTCCCCGCCTGCCTGCTCTACATAGCAAAGCGAGGGGTGGGGAGTGGGGGTGTCACTACTCATGGGTCACTGACAGTTATAATTCACGATTTTAGGAGGTGTCACTACACATGGGTCAGGGACAGTTATAATTCACGATTTGCTTCTGGTCGTTGGCATATCATCAGGTGACCATTTTTGAATACCAAATGTGGGGGAAAAGTTTGAACTGTATTGTAAAGAGCTGTTACTTTCCTGAGGCAGACTTTCTGCCTGAAATTTTACTACGTGTGTCTCTGATAAAATTGCTTTGGTAGACGTCAAAAATCACCTGTGCGCTCTGTGAGCACAGGGCAGTGGGTTCTGGAGACTACCCTGCTCAGCCATTCATCTAATTGTGAATCTTATCGGTGTCTAGAAGGCAGCTGTAGGTTCTGTGCTGAGTTGTTTATGCTCAGGATATAAGTTCACAGGCTAATGCAATGTGTGTGTTGCAGGCTTTCCTAGCAGGTGGATACTATATTGATTTTCTTGGAATTTCCTCTAACAAACGATCACTTAATTTAGTGTCTGTAAACAGCAACACAGCTATTTTAGAACTCTGTAGGTCAGAACTCTTTCTTTTTCTTTTTTTTTTTAAAGATGTATTTATTATGTATACAATGACGTATTCCTGTGTGCCAGAAAAGGGCACCAGATTTTAATACGGATGGTTGTGAGCCACCATGTGGTTGTTGGGAATTCAACTCAGGACCTCTGGAAGAGCAGCCAGTGCTCTTAACCTCTGAGCCAGCCCCCTGGAAATCTTTCTTTTTGAGGCAATTTTGTTTTTGCTTTTGTTTTTGGTTTTTTGTTTGTTTGTTTTTGCTTTGAAATTCTGCTATCCTGAAATTTGCTGTGTAAACCAGGCCAGCTTTGAACTTGTGGCAACCCTCCTGCCTCATACTCCCGAGGTTAGTGCGTGCCACCACCCCAGCTATAAGATAAATGAAGGTGCTGATGGAGCTGCATTCCTCCTGAGGTCTGAGAGAAGAAACCATTCCCTGGCCTTCTTCAGCTTTTAAAGGCTGTGAGCTCAATTTTTCTTCAGAACCAGCAACATAGGCCCTTTCCTCTTTTTCTGACCCCACGAAAGAAAGGTTCTTCAATTCTAAGTATTCATTTGGTTAGATTATTCTGACCTTCATCATTCAGGATGACGTGCTTAGGTGAAACATGCCTGCCAAGTTTCTTTTGTCTCATATTGTAAGATTCTCACGGGTTCTGAGGATTTCTCTGTAGACTTCTGTGGATGGTCATTATTTTTCCTACTACAGATCCATCAATTCTGTGGAATTCTTCTCAGTGCCATGGTACTACTAGGTTTTCAAGAAGTAGCAAATCTGATGTTCTCTTGCTCCTGGGAGACCTGTAGTTTGTTGAAAGTTCATTAAAAATCTTCTGTCTCTAAAACCCTTCAAAGATATTTCAGCTTTAAGCATTTTTGGGAATGAGCTTCATCACTTCCTAACTCCAGTCTTTTCACTTTCCGGGGAGTGGGAGTGGGCTCGAGACAGGGTTTCTCTTTGTAGCCCTGACCATCCTAGAACTCACTCTGTAGATCAGGCTGGCCTGATCCATCTGCCTCTGTCTCCCAAGTGCTGAGATTAACACCGCCTGGCTCCTGTTTTCGCAGGGAAAATTTCTTAAATGTTTGTCTCCAACAGTGTTGGACTTCATTAGAAAGTCCTGAAAACCATTTTATTCCCTTCAGTGATTGATGCTGGAGAAGGCCTGAGGAAAGGACTCAATGCATAAGGGATCCTGGATAGACCAACAAGACAGGGCAGATTCATCCTTTGCTTTCTTTCCAAAGCGCACTGGCATTTATAACTTGCAGCCTGGTTTCTGCCTTCACTTAAACAGCAATGGGTGTTCAACCTTCTGATTGGGCAACTCTGAGGCTTCCCATTGCCCTTGCCTCTCCTCACTCCATCAGCTTCTCTTAGGATACTCTAATCTTCTTCACCTGCTTCATCTTTTTTTTAAGATTATTTATTTATTTTTATTTCATTTGCATTGGTGTTTTGCCTGAATGTGTGTCTGTCTGAGGCTCTAAGATCTTGGAGTTATGGACTGTTGTTAGCTGCCATGTGGGTGCTGGGAATTGAACCTGGGTCCTCTAGAATAGCGACTGGTACTCTTAACCTCTGAGTCATCTCTCCAGCCCACCTACTTCATCTTTTAGATGTCCTTCTCCTGGATGTTTTAGATCCCAGAGCTCCAGTTTGTTCTGATTTCTGGATCATCTTAATAGTAGTTTTCTTTCCGTTTTGAGGGATGACTTCTAATTCTACCCTAATGCTCACCATTTCTTCAGCAGAAGAGAGAAAGCAGTTTCGGGTCAAAGGTTGAGATACTGAAAGCGGAAAGGCTAGCTTTCCTTGAACTCAGCCTCTGAGTGCTGAGATTAAAAGTGTTACCCCCACCCCATCTTTCATTTTTAACAAAGGAGCTTTCCTTACATCAGCCAGCTTCACCCCTTCAGTGATCTGCAGAGTGTTCAGACTTCACGTTTCTGTCTCAGCCATGTTTTATGATAGAGAAATACACCTTTAGAAAGAGTGTTAGTTACTTTTGTTATTGGACACTTTAAAAAAAGAAAGAAAGAAAAGAAAGAAACTACTCTTCATTGCCTGATGTCATGGAGTTTCTTACTTGCCACATTCTATGTTATCTGTTCCATTCCCAAACTTAAAATCCTTCCTGGCGGTAAGCCTGAACACAGACATTGCCTTAGCCACCTGGTAGAGTGTAAGACAAGTATTAAGAAATTCTGTTTGTCTGTTACTGTCGTTGAACAAAAGTTTATGTCTGTATGTGTAAGAATTTTGTTTTCTGTTTCAAAGATGTGAATTTAATGAAGTGTGGGAGCCAGTTAAGTTATTTTATGCAGCGGGTGTTCTGGGTCCTGTCACTCTGCTTCCTTGTAAGGGCAGCATTTGCTGGCTTCCTGGTGGACTGTGGAGCTGAGCTACATTTGATTTCTATTTCACTCAGGGGATCAGCTCTGCAGATTCCACCGCATGAAGAAAGTAAATGTTGCCTTGATTCTTGAATGTACTTTTTAAAATGTCTTCTTAAAACATGTTTTTTGTTGTTGTTTAATAATGTGGGTTTATTTTCTTTTCCTAGCATGATAGCAAATATTTCTTAGTATACCTACCCCACCCTGGGTAGTTTATATTCTACCCTACAGGTCATGCCAAAAAATGAATAAAAGTTTAAATGCCAAAATGTTTATGAAAACTGCTGTCTACATACTGATTGATTGCACAGTTTAAATAAAACTTTTCCTTGTTAAAAAAAAAACAAAGGCACATGGTTTTCTTCTTTGGAGACTAGAGAATAGGCATCTGTGGTTTATAGAATACGTGGATGGAATGACTTATTAGGTGTGTACTCCTGCTGAAGGCCTCCCTCTAAGAATTGTAGCTGCACAGTGTTTAATGAGTAGCAGCAAGAGCATACACCTTTCCCACTCCTGCTGGTTGATGCACAGTCAAGAAGCAAGTATCAGGTGACCCAGAGGCTGTGGGCATGTTCAGGCACGCAAAGCACTGACTCCAAATGAAGAGGATGCTAGTATGAGAGTTTGGAATGGCAAAAGGAGGCTGGAAACCTTCCCACTGGACATCTAGAGAGGGAGCTGGAGAGAGGGCTCAATGGTTAAAGGTGTATAAGCCAGATGACCTGAGTTTAGCGCTGGAATCCTGTGAAGGAGAAGAGAGAAGTGACTACAAATTGTTCTCTGACCTCCACGTGTGCCGGGCACTGTACTTACATCCTGAACACACAATAATAACAATAGTTTTTGTTTGTTTTTCAAGATGAGATTTCTCTTTGTAGCCCCGGCTATCCTGAAACTCACTCAGTAAACCTGGCTGGCCTTGAACTTAGAGATACGCCTGCCTTTCCCTCCCAAGTGCTAGAATTAAAGGTGTGTGCCACCAACTGCCTAACAAAATTTTGATTTTTTTAAATGTAAGAATAGAAACATTAACAAGCTTGAATTAATGAACATAAAGCCCTGAAGTAAAGAGAAAATACACTTCTTTTTTTTATTTTTTAAGGATACATGTCTTTATTTTATGAGTGTTTGACTGCATGTGTATATGTGCCTAGTGTCCACTGAGGTCAGAAGAAGGAGTCAGATCCACTATAATGAGTTACACGCAGTTGTGAGCTACCATGTGGTTGCTGGGAACTGAACCTGGGTCCTCTGCAAGAGCAGCCAGTGCTCTTAACCACTGAGTGCGTGCACATGGCACACGTTATGTGCAGGTGCCCGTGTAGGTCAGAGGTGTTGGATCCCCTAGAATTAAAGTTAAAAGTAGTTGCAGGCTGCCCAATGTAGGTGCTGGGAACAAAAGTTGGGTCCTCTGTAAGGGTACCCTGAGTCACCCTTAACCACTGAGTCATCTCTCCAGCCCAAATACTCACAGGATTGTCCTTGCTAGAAGTCTGAACAATACGAGTGAAACTCCTACAGGCCATGGTCTTTAACCCCAAGAAAATGATATGGAAAGTTAATTATGAAAAGATGCTAGACACTTTGAAATTTTTACACACCTCTAAATAATTGAAAGGTTTAAACATCAAGATGAGAATACAGTAGAACTCAGTGAAACTAAAACACCAGGGGATTTATCAGCAGAGCAGTGACTTAGCATGAGTGCAAAAGGGAAAAGAAAGTACAAGAACTCGTGGGTACAGTAAAATAGTTTCTAGGCATATAACACAAACACTTCAACTAGGAAAGAAATACACAGGCTGGAGAGATGGCTTGGGGTGTAAAGGCAGTCGCTGCCATCTTAATGATCTGAGTTCAAACCCCAGGACCCACACAGCAGGAGGAAAGAAATGACTCCCGAAATTTGTCCTCTGGCCTCTCCACGTATGTGCACGTGCCCACACACATACACAAAATAAGTAAATATTCAAAAATTGGTTTAGAAAGAAGCTAGAAAAAGCAATGAAGCATCAAAGTAAAAAAGGCTGGGAGACCAATTGACACTCGGACACCTGTAATCCCAGCACTTGGAAGGTGGGGGATCAGGAGTTCAGGGTCATCCTGGGCTATATAGCAAGTTCAAGGACAGCCTGGACTGCATGAAAATCTGTCTCTAAATAAATAAGAAAAGTGAATGTACCAGTCTGTATACACAATGGGATATTATTACTCAGCCTCCAAAGAAATGCAGTGTTGATACATATACTGTAAGAAGGAACCAAACTGCAGCCATTTTTGATAGAACTTCTGTTTTGAATAATAGCCAAATAAAGTGTGAGTTCCTAAGACCTCGCCAGGTAACTGACAACATCCTGGATGCAAAGATGAGTCAAGAATGGTGGGCAAGCCACCCCCACACAGTTGAGTAAACCAACCAATGAAACAAGACAAGTCACCACAGAAAAATGTTCCCAGGAAAGTCCCTAATTGTTGAGCTCTGATTGGTCAAAAAATGTAACTGTAACTTGACACATGTGTTTGTGTATTCATGCTTAAAAGCTCTGTAACATTCTGGCTTGGGGTCATGGTTGAGCTCCAGAGTCTGATCTGAGGCCCTGATCTATCAGTAGCAACTTGATGACAAAAAATTTTTCTTTTCTGCATTGACTTGGTGTGTGAATTGTGTAGGCTCCAAGAAGACCCCATAACAATACAACATGGATGAATCATGAAAACAAA